GGTTTCGCATCGGTTGGCTAGGCCGTGGTTAAGGCAAAAACCATGGGTTCTTGACTAACCACCCACCCAGCGATGGGAAGATCTTCCCATCGATGGGTAAGCGGCCCCTCAGCCAAACCAGTTTCCAGAACCATGCCAAACAGCGATGGGGAGTTCTACCCATCGCTGTTAAAGCCTTGGTGCAATATTAACACAAGGCTGAACGACCTTGCCCAGCGATGGGAAACCTATCCCATCGATGGGAACCCACCGATGGTAAGGGTATACCATCGATGGGAAGGCATGACCGTTGGTGGTCATTAAAGGTTGATTCTTTCCTTGTTTGGAAGTCAACCTCCCACCCAGCGATGGGAAGTTTGTACCCATCGATGGGTAAGTGACCGTTGACTTCAAAACTGAAGGAAAATTGGCTTACCAGCGATGGTTGAGTCTAAACATCGATGGGAAGCCAATATTTTGCAGATCCCAAATCTTTTCAATCCCATAAATCAAGCCAATCACCCCTTTAATGCATTGGTCTGTTGGAGCCTTCTTTGGCACTATAAAAAGGGGTGTTTGGGTCTGCTTTTCTCACCAATTCACTTCACAACATCCATACTTTCATTGCATTCAAATATCATCATTTTCCATAGCTTTCTAGAGCCATTTGTGTGTGAAGGTTGAGTTGTTCTTGAGCGTACTTAGTTTACTCATAATCTACTCTATAAGAGAGTCTCGTTCTTGAGTGTACTTGTGTTCTTAGACACGTTGAGAGATAGTATCTCTCTCGGTTTATTCAAAGGAAGGTCTGTTTCCTTTGAAGGATTCGTTGAGGTTCGTGTGACTCGAACTCTCAAGTTGTAATGGTTTGTTAAGCACCCGTAAGCTTAACGAGTTAGTAGTGTAGCTCGAGAGAGTCTCTCGGGAGGCTGGATTAGCCACAAGTTGTGGTGAACCAGGGTAAAATTCGGTGTGCCTTTTACTCTTCTCTTTACTTCTCTCTTAATTTTTTAATTCCTGCGATTTCTCCGATCAAACGCTATTCACCCCCCCTCTAGCGTTGGTCTATTATTCTAACAGGATGATGGATCTGAGAAAGTAATGTTTAAAAAGAAAAAATGGGCTCTTTTAGCGTCTTTAAAATGCAGCTGCGCCGAGGTGAAAGGGTGAAAACGGAAAGGAAGATTAAACCAAACCAGCGTGCGCAAAGGGTAAATGTCTGTCTGTACGTCTGTCTGGTTAAAGGTTGAAAATTTATCCACACGCTACACTAAAATTGGCCGCCGCGTTTGTTTTCTTTCCATAACGGCCGCGTGCCATGTTCTCCCTCCATTCCTAATTATCTGTCTTTTAAGGTTAATTCACGTTTTTAAGAATATATTGATTTTTTAGTGTAAATCCTAATATGCCCTTAATTAATTCGAAAGCATGCATGCCCATACTAATTTAATATTCCTACTGCGCGGTATTCCTACTAACAAAGCATTATTAATATGGCATTTGTTTTCATACTAGTTGTCCTTACTTTCACTTTCCTTACTGCGAATCGCATACGCCCAGCCCGGGACTTTATTCGATTCTTTTTCGAAAAAGTCTCCTAACACTATGATTGGCCATCTAAATGAGTTGAACTATGTTAAACGAATAGTTACACTCTAGCAACTTCGTACCTATTCCTAACCACAGATCTATGGGTCTTACCTTACGTCGCACAGCCTTTCCCATCGTTGGACATTAGGCGTGAACGGACTCTATAGCCTGCGCCCGCAAAACGTTCATACTAGAAATTTCACCTACGACACACAGACCAATTGAGCTGTTCACTCCGGTTAGGGCCCTTACGGAAATAGGGGTCAATTCCTTTAACCCAAAATCGCTTAGCAAACTCAA